CTGATGTAAAAGTGATCTCATCTTATTTTTTTTTAAATCTACAATCTTGATTTGTCGTAATAATGTGAGTCAAACATTAAGAGAAAAACGCAAAATTAACTAAGTCATACATAGTAGGCAAAAGTAAGCTATAATACGATATATTGGAGAGAACACATGTATTCTCGACGATGTCAGGCGACGTTAACTTTCATAATTTTCATAAAATCCTTTAGTCTGCAATGCCTGCGCCATACACTTTACAAGTAGCAACATCTATCTGCCAAAATCTGTTTCTTCGAAAATTTGGAGTTTCCTTTTATCTGCGGAGCTCTGTTGCGCGATCTCCACCTCTTGGAGCAGACTCAACGGCGAGGTGAGGAGATACAAGATATTGGCTCTAATGGGATTATACAGTTGAGATACCGATTTTTAAAACTATTGAAATATTATTCTTAACAATATGAACTATAAATTTAAGTAAAAAAAATTTTCGATTTTTTTAAACTTCAAGGGTGGTATCCCCCCTTAAGGCTTAAAACCCGATTGCACTAACGTTACTTTGACTTTAAGCAAGACTTAAAACTCTCTCTGTCTCTCACTTTAAAACGAGACAGAGAGTTTTAAGTCTTGTTTACCCCGGATCTACAATAAAGTTTTAAGCCTTAAGCCCTAAGAAATGGGCGAATCATAGTCGGATTATTCTCCTCGAATTCGACTGTAATTGGTCATTTCGTTACGGCTTAAGGCTTAAAAACCTATTGTAGATCCGGATTTAAAGTCAAAGTAACGTTGGTGCAACCGGGCCTAAAACACCTATTGTAGATTCGGACTAAGACTCAACGCGGATATCAGGGTGAAAAGGGAAAGAATAAAGAATTTAATCCTAAATTGATGTTACATTAAACTAGGTCACGGACAATAAAGATTGTACTAAATAAACAAAAAACTTTTTGCTTATTTTTGTTTCATTCACTATCCTCGCTTTAGCGTAAGAACACTAAAAACTAAAATATCTATTATATAATAAAATACAATAGAATTAAACATAAGTATGTAAAATATTAATAAAAGATAAAAATATTCAAAGATAAATATCTTATATGAAGTTTACATTCGTGTGTGTGTCTTAGCATTCTGTCTTAGAAGTCTGTTTTAACATTTAAAAAAAAGTGTAATTATGTGGAAGACAAGCTTATTCATCGATTTTGACGAGATTAGGGTCATTCGACACGTTTTTGCACGAAATGAACGGATCTGACAGATTTCCTTACCTCGATAATCATCAATTTTAACCATTAATATCTCGGTTCGCCGGGCAAAGCGACACTTATTTTTCTACCAGATTCGTTCATTTCATGCAAAAATAATCCGTTAAATGACCCTAATTTCATAAAAATCTGTAAGCCCGTCTCCTGCATAATTACAAAAGAAGTAACAAAAAGTAACGATTTTTTATCGTTACTCTTAAGTAACGGTAACGCGTTGCTTTTTAAAATCGGTAACGAGTAACGATAAGTCCGGATCTACAATAGATGTTTTAAGCCTTAAGCCGTAAGAAATTGACCAATTACAGTCGAATTCGAGGAGAATAATCGACTGTGATTCGTCCATTTCTTAGGGCTTAATGCTGATTCTACAATGAGTCGGTAGTCGGAAATCTTAAGTCTTAATCAGTTTTAACCTAAATAGGTAACTATGATTGTTTGCATCTACTAGTTGTTAATTGTACAACGAGTCGTTTAGCTCGATTAATGGGAAAGAATAAAGTCAAAATTTGATCAGTCTTAAGAAAATCGATAGTCTTAGTCGTACAAGTTGGTTGTTGGCCAACTTCACCGATTCACCGATAAGACTTAGGACTACCGACTACCGACTCATTGTAGAATCAGCTTAAAGCTTAAAACTCTATTGTAGATCCGGGGTAACGCGTTACTTTTAAAAAGTAACTTTCCATCCCTGAAATCCATATAGCAATCCCATTACTTAATAATTGTTCGATTACTGATGTAATATTCGTCCAAATATCTCAACACCTCTTTGTTATCTCATTCGAACTAAATAATTTTATATGATTTAAATAAGAAATCATATATATATGTATATATATATATTATATATATATATATACTTTTAGATATATGCAAACGTATGAAAACGTTAGTAGAGGAAAGTAGTTTCAAGTTGCCGTTGGCAGATAATGTATATTGGATTCGACGTCCTTTTATGAAAACACAAATAGTTTCCTATATAATTTTTATTTTTACAAAAAATTTGTTTTTAAGACAGAGAATGTGTTTTAAAGCAGAGAATTTGTGTTTTTAAAGCAAACAAATACCTAACTGAAACAAATTCTCTGCTGTAAAAATAAAAATTATGTAGAAAATAATTTGTATTCTTGATGCAGAAAATATGTTTTAAAGCAAAGAATTTGTGTAACTGAAGCAAAAATACTTATTCTAGCCTCACCTACTGTCCCTCTATGCAATCAATGTGACAATCATCGGGACAATCGATGTTTCCTAACCTGAATAATCGTCAACTTTAACGATTGATACTTCGGTCCACGGGGCAGACCGCAGAGTGATACTGTTTTTTGTCAGATTCGTTCATTTCGTCCAAAAACGCATCGAATGAGCCTAATTTCATGGTGAAAGAACTACTTGGTATGCTCAGTGATTTGCAAGCATCTCTCTTTAATTCTTTGCCCTCTCGCTTAAACGAGGAGTGCAAACTCTTGCATAAAGCTGGTTCTACATTGATCTCATCGCAGCGTCGCAAGCGTGTCGCAAGCGTTGCGGTCCAATAAACGTTAAGCTAGCTCGACTCTGATTGGAGTGCAACACTTGCGACATTGCGATGCGACTAATGTAGAATCAGCTTAATGCATAAGAAAATAAACCAATCAAAATCTTTCGTTTTCTTTTTTTCCATGAAATAAAGAAACTATGGCTGCGTTCAGCAGACTCAACAGTTTTGCAACCGTTTTATGATTATCTGCTGAGATAGGACCATTCTTCTAGATCTAAAAGTATGATCCAATTAGCGCGAAGGAAACTTCCAACAGTTGCAAAACAACGTTCTGCTGAACGCAGCCATAGTTTCTTTATTTCATGGAAAAAAAGAAAACGAAAGATTTTGATTGGTTTATTTTCTTATGCATTAAGCTGATTCTACATTAGTCGCATCGCAATGTCGCAAGTGTTGCACTCCAATCAGAGTCGAGCTAGCTTATCGTTGATTGGACCGCAACGCTTGCGACACGCTTGCGACGCTGCGATGCGACTAAAGGAGCTTACAGACCAGAGCGGCGTAGCGGTGAGCGGCGAGCGGTAGCCCAATGAGAGCCACGCTTTTGCGTGACATCATTAGTGAAGCATGGCTTTTATTGGGCTACCGCTCGCCGCTCACCGCTACGCCGCTCTGGTCTGTAAGCTCCTTTAGTCGCATCGCAGCGTCGCAAGCGTTGCGGTCCAATCAACGATAAGCTAGCTCGACTCGGATTTGACTGCAACGCTTGCGACTAGAGTCCCTAGAAGCAGAGAGTCCGGCCATTCGGGATTCCATATGATTGGTGCACGTAATTTGGTGCTCTCACAATGGCAGCACCAGTACGGAACTTTACTCACTCAGCGCGAACGGGAGGAAAATTAGAATTGAAATACATTGTACTCGGAATTTACAGTGGTATCACAGAAGTAATGATGTATGCGTATTTCCTAAAAAATTGAGAACTCTATCTTTGGCGAAGGTTCTATGTATACATACATACGATGCAATGTATGTAATATACACTGGCTGTGTTCTAAAATTTACTACCACTATTAAAAATCTATAATACATATAACATGAATAATATAAGGCTTTTTATTTTTAATTGAACTTCTCGCATTTCTTGCATCTCGGTTCATCTTTTCTCTTTTTCTCTTTGCATTGTATGAAAAAGGTAGAAAGTTGAACCGTGTCATTATTGTTTTTTTTTACTTAAAAAAAGGTTAGGAAACTTTTAGAGCGTTGCACAAATAATTATAGATAGACACATCAAAAATATTACTTATTTAATTTTTATATTGATTTAGGGATATTATATATTGCTATTACTTATCACAAATTGATGTGTATTAATAAAAAAGCCATGTTACATGACGCATCAGCCAACCAAACACACACACGCTGTGGGTGCATTCAGTACCACGACCACTTACTGAGCGCTCAGTGAGCTCTTGTATCTGTTTGGTCTATATTTTTAGTTCTAACGGAATATACCAATTGCTGGAGTCATCCTGCATCCGATTTTCGTCGTACGA